TCGAGGCGAGCTATCCATGTGGATAGTGCAGCTACCTACGGTCAGCATGCCTGTGACTTGCAAAATATCGGACGTACAGTACAGTGTGACCCGCCTGCAATGTTTGACGCAGTGGTTTCTTCGGGACAAAAAAAAAAGTGTCCGACGCAGTGGGCCCTGGACCGTGAGTGACTGACTGATTGGCTTCTCTCCGAGAATGTAGGACGTATCCTTAATCTTTCGGCTTAATTCTACTTGTTCCTTTTTTTCTCCCTTTTCTCTTTCAAAGACAAAGCGTAGGTTCATTATTTGTTTGTGGAACAGAATCCAAGTATGTGTTGTCTATCTGAACGTACGGTTCCAGAGGATTTTGTTTCACCTTCAGTCATTGCCCTGGGCGTGATATAAACCATCCCGTGTCAACTAGTAGATGCCCAAAAATGCGTTACCTGAAAACTGCATTGTGCTGGAATTTGGTACAAGCTGTGAGCAGGGTTTAGAATTTCGGCCGGTTTTCATCGAGAATTGGCGATTTTCGTTTCTATTGGTGACCTCCAGTAAATGTACATACCGGTAATTTCGGTTCCATTTTGTTCAAAATTTTCACATCTTTGCTAAAATTTAAAAAAATTTGACCGAAATTTGCAACCGGTTTTCATTACTTGCTTGTGGAACAGAATCCTAATAAGTATTGTCCAAATGAAGTTCTTTACGGTTCCAGAGGATTTTGTTTTACCTTCGGTCATTGCACCGTGGGCGTGATATAAACCGTCCGGTGTCAAATAGATGCCCGAAAATAAAACCGCCGTGCACTGAGTGCATTGTGCTGTAATTTGGTACAAGCTGGATTTTTTTTAATTTTAATACTTCTTGTAAACTAATTCTAAATCTAATACTGTTTTTTTTTTTTTAAATTTAACATTTTTTGCCGCGCCTATTGCCACGGCGCGACGAAATAACTTATGCCGCACCATGTATAGTGGCGTGATAAGAGGGCTGACGTAGCGACGACCGAGACGCTATCAGTGACGTGACAGAGTCTGCCGTGCCACCGATCTGGTGCCGCGCCGACCTCCACGGCGCGGCAGTCCGCCGCACGCGTGACCCACTTACACATGCGTAGTCAAGCGTCCGCGCCCCAACAACCTATTGCATGCGCGCGCCCATGACACGACAGGCCTATAGCCTACTGCCTATGTTTTGAGGCCAGTGTTTTGAAGCCTACTGCATGCACCGAAGCCTGTGTTCAAGCGGCACGGAAACCAATAAAACATAAATATTTTATTTAAATTGGTATAACTTTTAAACGATGTATCCATTTTCAATTCCGTTTTCACCGAAATGTTCTACGTGACGAGACGAATAAAACTAGACCTCACGCGCTTATGTTTTGAAGAATTTTATTTTAGTAGCAATTTATGCGTAAAAATATGCTAGATGATTTATGAAAAAGTTGTTACCATGAAATATTAAATTTGCTATTCAAAAATATACTAAAGTTTTTGCATCGATTGTTGCCATGAGAATATATTATATATTATTTGGTGGTTACTGTCTGCTTAATAAAAAATAATGAAAACTGAAAATGATGTGGAGGAGAATATATTATATATTATTTGGTGGTTACTGTCTGCTTAATAAAGAATAATGAAAACTGAAAATGATGTGGAGGCCAATGTGGTTTGTCGGATAGTTGCCAAAGAAAAAAAAACATGACTTCTTCTTGGACACTGATCCCACTGTCATCATAGAATGCAAAAGCAATCAGAAGAATGGTAGCCTTTTGACTGCTTGTACATATAGTAGCTACTTTTTTATATAGAGGTAATCAAAATAACTTGTCACTTGTCCAAAATATAACTTGCTACATGCCTTGAAATTAAACTTGCCATACACACGGCCATTCTTTTAATTAGTTAATGAGTTATGAGTTTTATTTTTTCAATTTTCCTTTTATTTTAATGAGTTATTAGTTTCATTTTTTAGTTTTCCTTTCAATTTAATGAGTTAGAGTGTCATTTTTTTAGTTTTTATTTTCCTTAGTCTCAATTTTAATTTCAGTTTTATTTTTCTCGTTGTCAGTTTAAGTTTTATGTTTCATTTTTTTATTGTGTATAATTTTTTTAGTTTCATTATTTTATTTTTTCATTGTTTATTTTATTTTTAGTTACATATTTTTTCAATGTTTATTTATTTTCAGTTTTCAGTCATTTTTTTCATTTTTTAGTTTTAGTTTTCAGTCAAGTATTTTTTAGTTTCTGTATTTTTAGTTTCTGTTTTTAGTCTACCTTTTAGGTTCGAATGTAAGCCTATTCCTAAATCCTACCTATTAGTTGTATAATAGCTTACACGTAAAGTTGGCACCTTATGCAATGCTTATTCTAATAATTTGCCCGGGGTGCAACTTGTATTATTTGGGTCGCTACTCTTGTCTTGTTAATAAATGTCCCTCCAACTGAGGGCTGGTCATGTTTTCCGGCTTATAAATGGGTTTTATAATAACTTGCTCATTTGGTTGGCAGTTTATGCAAATGCTTGTTCTAATAATTTGCCCCAAGATTGCAGCTTGCCTTATTTTGTATCACTACCCTCACTTTTTAATAAATGCCCCAAGTTGGCAGCGAGTCATGTTTCCTGGATTTTTGAAATATGTTGTATAATAACTTGTCCCCCTAATTAGCAGCTTATGCAATATTTATTTTAATAATTTGCCCCTTTCAGATTGTTTTGTTTTTGGGTCCGTTACTCTTTTTTAGGGGTGAGTATCTTTATGTAAATAATATATAATATATAATATATTCTCATGGCAACAATTGATGCGCATACTCATATCATGTAAAAACTTTAGTATATTTTTGAATAGCAAATTTAGTATTTCATGGTAACAACTTTTTCATAAATCACCTAGCATATTTTTACGCATAAATTGTTACTAAAATAAAATTCTTCAAAACATAGGCACGTGAGGTCTAGTTTTGTTCGTCTCGTCACGTAAAATATTTTGGTGTAAACAGAATTGAAAATGGATAAAATCGTTTAAAAATTATACCAATTTAAATAAATTATTTATGTTTTATTGGTTTTCGTGCCGTTGAACACAGGCTTCGGTGCATGGAGTAGGCTTCAAAACATAGGCAGTAGGCTGTAGGCCTGTCATGTCGCGGGCGTGCACATGCAATAGGCTGTCGGGCGCGGACGCTTGACTACGCATGTGGAAGTGGGTCATGTGTGCGGGGGGCTGCCGCGCCGTAGTTGTTGGCGCGGCACTGCCCGCGCCAAGATCGGTGGCACGGAAGATCCTGCCATGTTACCGGTCAGCGTCCTAGTCGTCGTCACGTTAGTCCTCTCGTCGCGCCACCATGCATAGCGTGGCATAGGCATTTTGCCGCGCCATGACAATAGGCGCGGCCAAAAGTGTTAGATTTGAGGGAAAAAAAATAAACAGTGTTAGATTTAGAATTAGTTTACAAAAAGTGTTAAAATTAAAAAAAAATTCACAAGCTGAGCCTCTGACACCAGTTCCTGTAAATACACTGTTATACAGGGTGCTTGCAATGAAGAACATCTTTGATACTATCAGATTATGGTAGATTTTTGGAAATCGCACATGATGCATGTCTTCTTCGTCTTTTACATCTACTAGAAACTTAAGATTATCCAAAGTTGTGGCCAAAGTAACGTGTCTGTGACCAAATACTACCCAAAAAACAACCATCTTTTATTTTGTGATTGTGATCGACCAAAGGAATATATATACTAGGCACATGCATGATGAAGCACCCTGTGTTAATAAATTTGGCAAGGACGGAACTGTGTGATACAGTAATATATATTGCCAGCCTCTTGTATTATCTAACCTTGTGATTGATCTGACACACGTATATAATGTCTTATTACACTTTGGTGCTGTCACCCGGCCGGAGAACTTGAGCGGACGGACAAGTGCACTACACATTGGGAATCGAGTCTCTTTGGAATCCTTTCATGTATTGTAATAAACCTGACCATGTGAGGACCTTTTGGTTTTAGTTCATCTTCCTGCAGTTGAGCCTGACCTCCGTAGGCGTCCCTGACGACGGCATGAGGCTGCCCATCTTGATCATGGCGGAGACGAAGTCCGCGTTGAACTGCGCGGCGTTGGTGCTGTAATGCCGGACCAGCGCGTCCTGCGACCCGCCGTTGAAGAGCTCCTGGTCCGAGTGCAGCAGGCCCTTCTGCGCCACCAGGTTCTGGTAGTAGGCGTTGTCGAACCCGTCGGGGGTCTGCACGTCGAACGGCGCCAGCGTGGCGTCGCCGCCGGAGCGCGGGCACGTCTGCTGCCGAAGCGCCGCGAAGCTGGCGTTGATGTTGCTCTCGGTGTAGATCCAGGTGCGGAAGAACTGGCACTGCGACCTGCCGATGGTGTGCGCGCCCGACAGCGCCGTCATGTCGCGCGCCGACAGGCCCTGGTTGCCGAACATCCTGATGAGGGTGGCGAGGCTGGACCCCGGGCCTGGCAGGTTCGAGTTGGCCAGGCTCTGGCTCGCCGTCCGCGAGTCCTTCCGGCCCAGCGCCACGCTCCAAGTCGGCCCTCCCAGCTGCATTGTGACGAGAGGTCGTCAGTCGTCACGGGAGGAAGAGGAAGCAGAAGCACAGTCCTGCTAGCTACTACTAACCAGGTTGACCCCGTCACGGGCGGCGAGCGCGAGGATGTCGGCGCAGGAGACGGTGGCCTTGCAGGAGGCCTCCACCTGCGTCTTGATGGCGTCGATGACCTCGAAGCCGCGCACCGAGTTGGCGTTGGGGCCGGCGCCCTTCTCCCCGGTGAAGCTGGACGTGTCGTCCAGGAGGATGGAGCCGTCGCAGCCCTGGCAAGCATTCCACAAACACAGAGCAGCAAAACGTCAGCACGCACACGTTCGGTTCGGTTCGGTTGCACACAGCAGTCCAGCGAAAACAGCAGCTGTAGCACTGTAGCATGCACAGCAATTGCACATTGATGCATGCATGGGTTGCAGTTGCATGCATGCGGCTCTTCTTACATTGACGAAGCAGTCGTGGAAGAACATTCGGAGGATGGAGGCGCCCATGCGCTTCTCCGCCGCCACGGCGGACGCCATCTGCTGCCGCACGATGGTGGCCAGGTTCGGGCACGTCTTGGAGTAGAAGTTGGGCGAGAGCTGCTGCGCGTCCGCGGCGCCGGTGAGCAGGGCAACGAGGACGACGGCGAGGGCGAGGAAGGTCATGGACCTGCAGGTGAATGTGGCCATGGCTAGCTTGTGCGCTTACTAGCTAGCCACCTAGGAGTAGACCTTTATTTAGATAGAAGAGATGAGAGTAGAGAGCAGTTTGCTTTTTTGCTAGAAAAGAGCTCGATGGTGGATCGATGAGACGAGAGATGCTCAGGGTGGCCTCCAATTTATAGTGATCTAGCTTCTCGAGGCTCGACCTTCAGTTCGTAGGCAGGCATGCAGGCAGGTTATGCGCGTGCATGCATGGCGGTCGTTGACGCCTGCACTTGCATGCATGATGCATCAAGTACAAAATTCTGGGCCAAACTCTGCAGCTTGATCCGATCATTAGCCGGATTTGGTTGACCGGTAGTCTGTCTGGTCCGGCACGCACGGACCAGGCTGGCGGTGGCGGCCACGTGGCTAACGACGCTCCTGTCCCTCGTGAATTATTGCATGTTTTTCTTTTGTTCGTTTCTCGCCACAATATCATATTCACGATCAGAAGAGGCCGTTCATCACCCGGAATTCTTTATGCGTGAGTCCTGAAGGTTCCGAAATCATAAAAAATGATAAAAAAACATTTTTTTTAATCCTGAGATAATCCACTAGCTAAGCACCACAGTCGGGAATTGGAATAAGATTGTCTCTTCGTTAGCAATATCGAACTTGCAAGAAAGTCGGGACATGTTTATTTGGTCCTTACAGTTATCAGGTCTTTTTTCCGTTAGATCAATGTATGTTGCCTTAGTCAGTAATGGGGTCAGAGTGTCTCAAGAAATTTGGCGTGCTAAATTACCAAACAAGATTAAAAGCTTCATGTGGTATTTGAAAAAAGGTGTTATCTTATCTAAAGACAATCTCATCAAAAGAAATTGGAATGGGGATAAGAATTGCTACTTCTGTCATAAACCAGAGTCCGTTCAACATCTTTTTTTCTAACTGCGCATAATTTCTTGTGGCGAGCTGTGCACTTAGTGTTTGGAATACTGAGACCAATAAGCACGTACAATATTTTTCATCGTTGGTGTAATTTGGGAAGGACCAAACCAAACTTGTTATTACTAACCGCAGCAGCATCATTATGTTGGGCAATACGGCTTACAAGAAACAAAGTTGTTTTTAATAAATACAGACCAAAATCTTTCTTGCAAGTATTGTTCAGGGGAACGCACTGGCTTCGGGTGTGGGCGCAGTTACAGCGCCATGAGGAACGGAGGGATGTACTCATCCATGTCTATGGCCTCCTTGAAGAGTCCGCCTTGCAGTTATTCGCGTCAAATGGATAGTTATCTACTAGTTGGATTGGTCTTCATTAATCTAAACTTTCGTGTGTCGTTTTGAGCTTCGTGTTTGCTTGTAAGAACTCACTCAGTGTGTTTGGGTGCTGCAACTCTGTAATAATGGCCTAATTTTACATTATGTAGATGATGCCTGATATTAACTATCCTTTATCTAAAAAAAACTAAGCACCACGTTTGCGCACTGCGAGTTACAAGTCACATGATTCCAACCTTGATGTGAGCCTTTTCTACTATCCCATTGCATGTCTGTTGCTAATTGCAATAGGAGAATTTTTCTTTTTGTTGCTTCGCTGGAAATAATTTCCAGAGATGGACCACCCGCATCTAGTCTAGAAATTAAAAAAAACAAAATAAATAGATATGAGAGTTTGTAACAAATACTTGGGTCCTTAAATGATCTCAAATAACAAAAAACTACCAAGTTGTGCAGATCGTGTCAATAATATAACTTTGATATAGACCTTTCAATATCTAAGGTTGTTATTTGAATTTTGAAATCCAAGAATTTGGAGCTCAAAACAGTCTCAAACAAAAAATAAGAACTAGAAAGTTGTAGATCGAGTCGTTAGCTACAACTTTGATATAAGCCATGTGAACATCTGATGTCGTTTGAAAAAAAAATCAACAAACTAAATTTCAAAGTCCAAGACATTAAAATGAACATTTCGGCCTCCACATGGCCTTAAATAAAAAAATGACAACTACCAAATTCTAGTCAAGCCCTACAAGGTGTTTTTGGACAAAAGACGCCCCATGATAGCTTATATAAAGTTTATTTTCTTTAGACTTTTCATCTTAAAAAGTCATACGTACGTTTCTTTGTGTAACAACTATTTACCGGGGTGGACCGTGGACCCCTTAAGAAGCTCACCTCTAGGCATCGACTTCCAGGGCTACAACCTAGAAGCAGAGGCAGTTTCTCAAGAGATGCACCGCGATCAACATGGATACCATTGTCTTTGGGGGCCTATCCAGGCTATCTATATATGATTCTGAGATATGGTAGAATTAGCTAAGAAATTCCTCTTTGAAAATAAAATATAGTATCTTTACCGATCATTTCTGTAACAGTGCAAAATAATGATTTAATTTCTAGAAGCTAGAACCAGTATGATGTAGCCATCTGTCTTTTACGTGACCCGCCCTTTTTTGCATGCATCATACCTGACCATGCATATATAATAACGCCAATAACGGTGTGACAACTGAAACTTACACGTTGAAGACAAATAAAGAATCAGTTGAGGATAAGATTTGGGATAAGATGACCATATATAACTATTATTATATATACACACGCCAAACAATTTCGCATTGGGCAGCAGCAATAAAAACCAATCACTTTCGTTCAGCAGTGGTATATAAACTGGAGGTTTTGCGTCTCCCGGACCAATCACCAGAGGCCACCACTTGACTTGATGGAAGTTAGTTTCAATCATGTGATGACCATTGAGAGCCAACTGGGGTCAGCGCCGCTTTCTTGTCTGATAAGCACTCCTTAACCGAAAGCAATAGCTGTTTAATATGGCATAAAACATGCATAACGGCAGTATGAAATATTATATTAAATATTTGTGTTAGGATACCTGCTAGCTTTCTGACCAGTGACGTATTTAGATGAGGATAAGGCATGGGTTCATCATTCATTCATGGGCGTTATGCAGATATCAGAATAATCGGCATGGAGTATTATTCTAAAGAATCAATGGTCGGCCACTACTACAATAAGTATTTGTAGAGGTTGCTGGCGATGGTTTGTAGAGGTGGCTTAGTCAGTCACCCCTACCATACCGTCTCTACAAATCATGTATTTGGTGGACGGTTTTCAAACCGTCCCTACAAATCGATTTATAGAGGCGGCTGGTGTTATCAGCCGCCCCTACAAATCAATTTATAGGGACGGCTGTAGTACCAGCCGCCCCTATAATACATGTTTGTAGGGGCGGTTCAGTCTAGAACCACCTCTCCACTACATTTTTCCGTCAAAAAAAAATTCAAATTTACAATTCAAATTCGACCAGAACACACACACATATATATATATATAATTCAAATCTGACCACAAGCATAAGAGCATTATATAAACTACCATTACAAGTCTAATTCACAAGAATATATGCAATCCATCATTAAATAGGCATAATTCACAAGTCTAATTCGTTCCACAAGTCCAAACCGTCCCACAAGACCGATGTTCAAATTCCATACACATTGTTATCAACGGCCTAGAGCTAGCCTTTCAGTCTCACGAAGGTGTTGGTACTGAGGATTTCTACCTAAGTAAGAATCTCGATCATGGTAGGTGCCTTTGACGTGTACAATCTGGTCTAATATGAAGTTGCAAAGGTCGCCAACGACCTCTAAGAGTTGGTCATCCTTGTATGGGTCTCTTTTCATTTCTTTCTCTTCTTTCTACTACAAGAGAACAAGTTTCGGTTTAGTATTTCATATCATGTGCGAAGTTTTTATACTACGAGTGAAGAGGTTCAAACTTACCCTTAAGGGGTGTCTCCTGTAGGCGCTGGTGTTACTCATCATAGAACATATATAATATCCACAATATACACTCCCAGGCTTCTGCTTGGGGCACTGTGTATTTTGCATATAGAAATGTTAAGTAATGCTTTTGACAATCATATAATGGAGTACTAAAGTAAGTTACACTTACCATGCATAGTGTTTTTATAGCCAGTCTTTCCTTCCTTACTGGATCATGCCTTCCGTGATGTTCATTGACATAGAACCTGAATGGCCTGTTCGAATTATTTTAGCAAATATAACTTGTTAGTATCCAAAAGTGAACGTTACAAGTATGTATACAAACATATAAACTAATGAGGATTGTCGATATGTATACGTCTTGAGAATCGATATAAAGTCTTTGTATGTCACCGGGTCCCTATTTATTGAATCAAAGACCCATGCCATGCTCCTCTCGACATCGATGACTATATAAATCCAGTAGTTGTTGCATGAATTTAATCATAGAACTAGATAAACTCTTTTGCATCGAATAAAATATATCGAACAAAGCTTTAAGTATAGAGTTGAGCTTACTCGAAGTTGTATGGTAGCCATATAATAGAGTGCTGTTGGAGATTTTTAAAAGTCAGGGCAATGTATGCCGAAACTTTAAGGGACTCTTGCCTTAGTTTCTTCGCACGGATGTCCTCTTTCTCCCGAATGGTCTTTCTAGCAGCTAGCTCTTTGGCATCCAATTTCCACTGTCTAGGGTAATTAAAATTTGTTTGTGCTATAACTTGAGGGTCTATATATCCGGCTTTCACACTTGGCATTTGTTTTACAATGTGCACTTATATTCTACAAATCACGGTGTGGGTTAGTTACAACAAAATTCAAAGATTACATTTATATCATATCGGGAGGGCAAGGACTTATAGGCACCACGTACGAATTAGATTCATTTCCATTGCTCTAAGGTGAAAGCATATCTGCATGTCATTGAAGTCAAAGATAATTTTTCCAGCTGGGCTTCCAAATGAGCCGGTGGGGAAGTATGTTTGTACGAGGTCTATGCTCGTTAGGAGAACATACAAGTACCAATCATGGAACTTTCTCATTCTAAGTGGTAGGCGCTGGATGTCCCAGTTTAGTAGGAAGGGCTTGCCTCTTTCATATGTTTTCGGACAATCCTTTGACCATTTGATGGCATCAATATTTGGATACTTCTTTGCTGTTTGGTGGACTTTGCTAGTGACGGTCTCCTCAGAAGCC